AGCGTGGTTGTTGGACCTGCCAACGTCCTGGGGTCTTTTCGGGGGGTTATATCTCTTTTAGGTGCGAGGGCTTTCGAGGAATGGTGAGCAGCATGCAAAGGCAATGTTCCTGATGTCGTTTCTTACCTAGTTGCAATCTGAATAATTCCCGTTCGTAAATATTTCGGATGGGTTTCGGATCGGCTAGGGGTAAATGGCAAGCGGGTTTTTATGCTTCACACGAGGATTACTTATTTCGAACGCAATTTCATCAGGATTCAAAATCGTCTTGAAACCTGCCCTATCTTTTCTCTTAAACTATAACTATAACTATAAACTTTACAGTTTTCCTGAAGACCCGCTAGTTCAGGAGATATTTTAGATGGGTCACAGACGCGCTACCCTCTGACCCACCCGAAAAATCGACTCCTTCTGTGCCATTGTGAGGATACACCTTCGAAAACTTCAGTGTGCCTTCAAAACACATATTTCCCTTCAAATGAGTGAAAGAGGAGCTCGGCTATCACTGATCGATTTGGTCCGAGTGTGCGCCGTGCATTACGCTCCTACGCAGAGGTGGTGGAAAGGCGTGTCAGTGTGGCTGCGTTTGGCGCGGTGCCAAAGTCGTTCTGCACCAGTTGTTGAAGCGGGCAAGTGCATTACTGTATTATATCCTTCGTATTACTCGTTTTCTACCACTTTTTGTCGCATACGCGTTCAACAAGAAGGAGACGGCTTCAACAGTGTGCGCACTCGTACTAGCTGACACGTCCCACTGGTCCGCAATGATGAGGGCTGTAAATTCTGACTTCAGGTGCTTTGGTCCATGCAAAAAGATGTTTGTTTAGGGTTTGGAAAGAGTAATACGCACGAATCTGTTTGAGACGTATTATTTAGTCATCTACGTACTTACGAGTTCATGCTATTAACTGATATTTATTTATTTATTCTTGCTATTCTTGCTATATTGCTAATAAATTTTTTATTATTTTGTAGTCCTATTTACATCCGGGTCTTCTGCAGCTTTCCGTCCGTTCCATCAAACTTAGCAATGACACTTTTGTACTGTTTGATGCCTAGCGAGCCTACTTTGCGATACTCCCACGTCCCCCGCGGCCAAGTACGAACCCATTTTTGGAATTTCGCATGAAAAGAGGGCTGTTAAACGTAGCAGTTAAATCTGTAAAGAACACTCATAATAATTTTCATTTTTTAACATCTTGGCTTCCATAGCTCCACTCCCACTATCACTACCGACTAAAATGTCAAACCATTGCCCGGCGCTGACTGACCCTTAGGAATACGACTCCCATCCTCAGCGGCCAAGTACGACCCCTCCCCTATTTGTTTCGCACAACGATGCTATACCCTGTTCTTCTACGTTGCGTGCTGTGTGCGCGGCGATTTACGATTCTCTTGTCACGTACCCCGTGTTTATGCCCTGATTCCGAACCATTTTTTCGGAATTCCAATTACACACATAGACACACCGACATACAAACTAAGCAGATTATATGTTACACGTATAATGTTTTAGAGCTCTATTCACAAACGTCTACTCTTCAGTCGACTCGCAGAGCTTCTTGGCGAGTCTCAGCTCTGTGACGTGGTTCTCGTCGTCAAGGTGGTCCCTTTGAGATGTTGAACAGCTTGACATAGCTGAGCCACAGATATTCCAGGAAACGCGAATCAACGCCCATCGAGTCATACTGGCTGCATCCTCGAATTATTTCAAAGCCTTGTTCATCAAGGACGTGGCCAAAACCGGCTTGCGTATGCTTTTTATTTGTGGTTTTTTTTTATTTTACATGTGCTTCCAGTGAGTCTTCTCTAGATTCGCTGTCGTACACATATTGGCCATGAGGGGCACAAGTATTGCAATATTCTTTTAAGCATTTTTTTCTCAGACAGGGTAGAACTGGCTAACGTGGAAGCATCAGCTGTTGATGCCCTCGTAAAGTATTGCTATTCTGGAGACATAAATATCAGTGACACCAACGTATTGAGCATTCTGCCCGCAGCTCGTATGCTGCAGTTGGACCAAGTTGAAGTAGGGTTTTTTTTCTCTCAAGAGAGGGCTTACGCTGTCGACACTGCCAAAAAGTTTAAGTTGCTGTCTGTTATTCATTCTCTTCGTTATCTATTGTAGGAGTTGTGTTGTGAATTTCTCAAAAAACTGTTGGAGCAGTCCAGTTCCTCCGTAATGGCACCAGTTCCTGACAGTAGTCGGTGTCCTGCTGCTGACAAGAATATCTTGCAAAAAGTGAGGTTTATTACTTTATTACTAGTAACCCAAAGCTCTCACAAGCGCCGCTTTTCTTTTCCAGTATCTTGATACCTTAAAGGAGTATCGTGAGCACCTAGTTACTCGATACGAATCGACTGTAAGATCATTGGAGCAGGTATGTGGACCAGTTTCCTAATTGTTATTTTGAAGCTGCCTTTTCCCACGTTCTATTAGTCCATTGACCTCTACAAATCCTTAATGTAGCAGTGCTACGGCGAATGAGGTCCAACCTGTCAGTCTAGAAACATTTTTTCGGAAATAAAATGATAACTCTTTAGGGTGGCTGTTCTAGCTAGGCTGCGTTTATACCTTACGGCAGCGTACGCTAGCGTTTCCACCGTCTCCAGCGTACGCTAGCGTAGCAAGGGCAGGGAAAATATAGGTATCAATCCAGCGTTTCCAGCGTTTCGCCAGCATTTCGCTAGCGTTTTGTGAGCGTTTGCAGCGGCGGGAATAGAGACCAGTGGTAGCAGCATCTTGTGCGAACCCATAGGGGGCGTTCGTACTTGGCCGCTGCTGGAGGGGGGGGCGGCAGTCGTAATCTCAAGGGTTCATCAGACGTCGCGACGCAATGCTTCGAACATTTCAGTTTCGATACGTGGGAGTGGATGCTATGGAAGTTCAAGACTCGTTTTAAAAAACGACAGTTTACTTATGAGGCAGTTCTTACATGCTTAAAAAAAAACAAAATAAATGCTACGTTTAACAGCCCTCTTTTCATGGGAAATCCCCAAGAATGGGTTCGTACTTGGCCGCGGGGGACGTGGGGAGTATCGCAAAAGTAGGCTCGCTAGGCATCAAACAGTACAAAGGTGTCATTGCTAAGGGTAATGGAACGGACGGAAAGCTTCAGAAGACCCGGATGTAAATAGGAATACAAAATAATAAAAGATTTATTAGCCAATCAGCAAGAATAAATAAATAAATAAATAAGTGTCCAGTTCATATGGCCCATGAATCGTCAAGTACGCAGATGACTAAATAAACGTCTCAAACAGATTCGTGCGTGCTGTCCTTTACAAACCCTAAACAAATATCTGCTTGCATGGATAAAAGCACCTGAAATTAGAATTTACACCTTTCCCACCACCCTCCGGTCAGGAGTCTAATGCGATGGCCGCACGACCAAATCCGCATTAAGTTGATGAGCCGAGGCTCCTCTTCACTCATTCGAAGGGAAATATGTTATTTGGAGGCACACTGAAAGGTGTATCCTCACAATGGCACATAAGGAGTCAATTTTTCGGGTGGTCCAGGGGGTAGCGCAAGGGTAACCCATCTAAAATATCTCCTGAACTAGTGGGTCTTCAGAAAAACCGTGAAGCTTGTTGGAAAGAGAAAGGATGGAGGGGTTTCAGGACGTTTTTAATAATAACCTGATGAATTGCGGTTGTGCTGCGAAGCAAGTCCTCGCGTGAACACTGGTAAAGCGACCGCTCGGCGACTTTAACCCCAGCCTATCCAGAAACCCATCCGGAACTTCGACGCACGGGGATTGTTCAGTTTGCGCAACTAAGGGCTAGAATAGCCAACATAAGAAACTCCTTGCCCGCTTGCATGCCTGCATCCACCACTTCCTCAAAAGTCTCGCAACCTAAAAAAGACTATAAACCCCCCCAACAGAACCCAGCGACGTTGAGCAAGTCCAACAAACCCGCGCGTCCAAGACGCTTTCCAAAAGAAAGCGTCGTAACCGCTTGCGCTCTGCAGCCTGATCGATAATAGCCAAGTATGGAACGATTTACTGCCCGGCCTGGTTATCCTTTTTTCATTTAGCTCTGCATTTTTTGTATTTTCCATGTTTCGCTTTGTGTGTCTGTGCGATCTTTCATATTTCGCTCCGTCACCGATTCATCTGATGCACATCTGGGCCCTGACACGCTCACCTTGGGGCTATTTTTTTCACCAATTCAGCCTATCAATGATCACCATTAGCCGCTATTTCAATTGTGTTTCTTTTACAAGTTGCATGTCATACATAGTATCGAACGAGGAGTTTTATTTTGAATCCTAAGACAAAATTGTAGGTAATGCGAGGCTGTTGTTCAGCCTCATATTGCATGAGGCTGAAACAGCCTTTTATTTCCGTATTAGAGGCAGTAGTGCGCCCTTTCGAGAATCCAGATTCTCAAATTCAGGGGAAGGATGTTTCATTTGTGATGAACATTCATTCTGATTGTTCATTAGAGCAGGAGGCGGGGGGCGGGAGGAGGGGCGGGTCGTGTCTGGACCCTCTTCGAGGGATCGCCTGACTTGGCGGGTCGTACCCACACCGCCTAGTTGACACAGTCCCCCATGCGTGCTACCCTGGTAGAAGACTATGGGAGAACTAAGCGAGTAAACAAACACATCGGCTTACGTGTTGTGAAAGTGGGAGTGTCACTCGCCAGCGCATCAGTTAGGCAATACGGACTCCAAAATGTGTACATTGCACAATGGTGCGTTTTGGCTGTTGGGATTCAAATTTTTTTTCACTTTGTCGTTCTGATCTCGAGAGGGAATAAACGACAACATGTGTAAACGACACAGGACAGAACGACACGAACTAAAAAGTCGTGAAGGAATAAATGACAATATGTATGCAATAGACGAATGATTAAAATAGCTCAGCCACGGACGAGAACTGCATGAGGGTTCCATGGAAACAATTAGTCTAGGAATGTTAATTAGCACTGTTACTACTAATGAAATTTCCCAGCGACTAATTGAAAAAAAATTTGAATTCCAACAGCCAAAACACGCCATTGCGCAATGAACACATTTTGGAGTACGCTATCGCCCACGGATGCGCTGCGGGTACACACGCCACATTTCACAACGCGTAGTCGATGTGTTTTGTACTCTCCTCCTGTCCCATAGTCTCTACTCCCCGCCGCTGCAAACGCTATCAAAACGCTAGTGAAACGCTGCGCTGGCGAAACGCTGGAAACGCTAGTTCGACACCTACCCTTTCCCTGCCCTCGCTACGATAGCGTACGCTGGCGTGATGCTAGCGTTACGCTGGTGACGGTCTGCGTAAATGCCTAGATCGTTTCCTTCCCCCGACACTGGCTGGCGTATGCTGCCGCAAAGTATAAACGCAGCCTTACTGATCCAGGTATTGGACTGGGTAGGACTTTGCTCTTCTGTGAGAACACAGCCAGTGATAACACGTTAGCGACTTTAGATATCGCCTGAGGAGAACTCGTCGATGGAAACTAGTTAGGTCTTCTCTCCGAACAGCAACGATCTTCTTTTTCAGAGCTCTCATTCAGTACAACCATCTACACCAGACCGAGACAATGTGCAATTGCTACTGACAACACTAAGAGACTCATCCGAATTTCGTGAAGTATTATGCATTGGTATGACTGAAGCAATCAGGATTCTCTTTTCTTTATTGAATATTATAGCTGTGAAATGCGTTTGCCTTACTCTGTTCTACCATTAGTTTCACACACATCCAGTAGACAAATTAGATTTTCAAAACAGGGAATGGAGTAATCGGTTGGCAGGAACCTCACTGTGGTAGGCCGAACATGAGGGCAACTGTTTTCAAAGGTTTTTTCCATTGAAATATCCCTGAGCACTGCGAATTTTTTGAAGGGGCCAATGTAGGGAGAGCTTTCTGAGTCCCACCCCAGTTTTTTCTATTGCTCGGTGCTGCGGCTTTTTAAGAACTTTTTTCAGCGACATTCTACAAAACAACGTTGAAGCATTTAATGCAGAGGCACTGTCACACAGTCAAATTCATACATTTTTCTCTCTGCGGCGTATCTTGGTTTTTCTTTCGTTTTCCAGAGCAGGCAATTTCCGCAGTTGAGTGGGCCGCGTTCATTAGGCCGCATTCTCTGTCATACACCATAGATTCCGATGACGCTTCGGGACAGCACCGTATTATCGTTAGCGATGTTCGTTACAGCGGTCTGGGATTAGCCTTACAGTCGTCATACCTAGCATCTGAAGATCAAGGCGAACTACTGACCACTTCTTTCGAAAGGCAGCATACATTCCGTTTCTATTCCAACGGGGGGGGGGGCAAAAAAAGACATTTCGACCGAGTCACATATCAGCAAAGTTTTCGCAGCCCAGACAGAGGACGTGGATACGAGTACCAGGGCGGAAGATACCCAAGATGTTCCTCGATAAGCAGGAGCTGGCTCTCGCCCATCACCTTCATGTACACCAAAATATGAAGTCATCTCCAGTCGCAGCCTGACTGGAGAAGACCTTTGGAATTCATGTCACCTCCAAACAGCTGCGAAACTTCTAGTATGGAGTCACCCATGGATAGCTACCTGGAGACCAGTACTCTCGATCTGGAAGACCTCCAACATCGAGCAGCTCCGACAACGTCGCTACGGTCTAGGACATCATCTTCACCGTAGTCGCCAAGGCGCGAGTTGATGGTATGGACCGGACGTACCTGGAATGGAAAGACCAATATTTTCTTCGTGGACCCGGACTGAAGGTGAGCGCTGGCGGTTACATCGAGCAACTCGAGAAGAATATCCTCCCCACATGTCGTCGCCCGTACCTTCTTGGAAACTTTGTACTGCTACAGCATTGGGTGCCACCACATGGAATCGGAGGGCGTTGGAAAAACTCTCGCCTACTTGGAATGGAAGGGCGTTGAGTACCTAAAGAGATGGAATATCCAAGTAGGTCACCTGACCTAAACTCCCTTCGTTACCCGGTTGGCAGCGTTCATACTTGTAGCGCTACAGCGTAGCGCTACAGCGTCGCGCTACAGCGTAGCGCTACAGTTGTACCGAACTCCAGCTTTTATGTTTTTTCTTTCTGTATTCAACCTCTTCTCTTTGTTTCTCATATTTATCTGATAGTGAGCTCCTGTTTTCTACTTTATCACATTTTAATGTAGTTTTTGATACAGAAGACTGTGATAATTGGTTTTATTTATCGTTTTTGACTTTAATTATTTGGTTTCACAGTTGCTTGATGTTTGATGGCTTTGCTTGATGTCTTGCAGTGCTGCCTCGTGTTGATCCCGATTGCGAAACTACATTAAAATGTGATAAAGTAGAAAACAGGAGCTCACTATTCAGATAAATATGAGAAACAAAGAGAAGAGGTTGAATACAGAAAGAATGAATACAGAATCCAATGCCGCTTATCGATTATGGAGCGAAATCTGCTTTTCGAGTTTGCCCCCAATCTCTGCCTGGATCACAGGAAAAAGATTTATGCCGGTTTTCGAGGCATTCACAGCCAACAAAGCTTTGACAGTTTCTTGTACTTTTTTTGGCCTAGGAGCGTATCAGTATTGAGTCGCATTTGTCGGCAGCAGAAAAAAATGGCCTTATCTCCCACAACAGGCACGCGAAGACTGTCTGGTCACCAATGCGTTAACACAAGGCAAACAAGAAGTTCCTTTATGGTTCTTGTGTCTCCGGTAAAAAAAACATGCGTGCGTGTTTTTAGGTGGCGCGAGTACTCTTTGGGTGTTTTTTGCAGAAAATGCTCTTAATAGGACAGAAGGACACTGTTACGCTAAAAGCAGTACCAGAAAAATAGTGACTAATGGAGTAACTGTCAAGGATGGTCAGATAGTTACAGCTGTATCAGTCTCACCTTTCCGTGAATTTCTCAAGAAAACTCCAGCAACCTTCCCACTTTTCTCTGTAAGCAACTCTAATCATCCTAACGTTGGAAATAGCAGTACGTTGCGAAGCGGCGCTGTAGCGCGACGCTGTAGCGCTACAAGTATGAAGTGTGAAGTATGAACGCTGCCGTTCGGGCGGAGTTCAATAGGGTGGTCTACGGTGGCGGAGAAATCGACTATCTCGCTGATCTCAGGCACCACATCGCGGTCGCGTGCCAGAATGGCGCTCGTCCAGAAGGCTGTGGCGGAGTGTCGATAGTATTTAATATGCTCTTCAATATGGTGGTGGAAATGTCCGATCAGAATTCAATAAAGTGTAACTTATAGCGCCTCGAAAGTCAAGGAAGGGAAGTGGAAGTGACTTTTTTTATTGCCCCCCCCCCTGTATATCATACCTTGGAACTAACATCCTGCTATTGTTGTAACCCGCGCTATGGATTCGGCGACCATCTCCTTCTGACGCCTTTTATCGGATCTTATCAGCTGATATCACTTCCTGTCACCTATCGATAATGTTCTTGTCCCAACCCCTATATCATGTTTTGGAACCAAGGTGCGGCGGGCGCTATGAATTTCGTGACACACAGACAGACGCACACACACACACACACACACACACACTGACAGACATACTTAGCGAATTATATATAGTAGGACAAGCTATTCTTAGTATACAACATTGGGATCCTGATGATTCTTTAAGAGTACGGAATTTCAAGATGCATTACCTTTGTCGTGTTAAGCTGAATTTCAGTGGGACGAGGAAGCCTCGATTTCGGAGAATATATTGATTTTGAGGAAAACTTTCCTGTGGGCCGTCCCATCCCCACCATGAAATTCCCAAGGTAAGTCGGAGCGATGAATATGCTTTTCACCAACACTTTCTTTCATAGATGCGATGCCGGCGTTGCTGTTCTCGACAACCTGCTTTACGTTGTTGGCGGCAGGAATAGCAAGCACTATATGAATAGCATTGAGAGGTACTAGGCAATTTCATAGCTGTCACGAGTAAATGGAGAAAAGGTTGTGCAAAATTAGAACTCAGATAATGTTTACAGCTATCAACTATGAATAACTGCAGATAGCCACTATCTTCGGAGTATCTATCTATTCCCACCCCAAAAACTCAAAAGAGTGTTTTTACTAAAGCTATGCCTGTAGATGTTATTCGATGTTCTGATCACGAATATGACGTTCATTTCTGACGCTGGCGCCAATGCGCCAATATGACGCCACCAACTTTCGCACCGAATTTAATGAAATCTTGTAATAGGGGTAAATGACATCCTACTCGCGAACATGACACTTATTTCGAGGCTGGTGCCCACTGGTACCACACCTTTTCTCCCCAAAAGCAACTTGCGAACAGTGCTTTGTTGCCCTGATCACGAATATGACGTTATCTTTCTCGACATGTAGTGTTCTTGAGGCTGAACCGGGAGAAAAGGCCAGGCTCAGCTCAGCAGAACGCAGGTGGTCATTGTAGGTCCTACATTAGCGCCGTCGCCAAGATTGAATGTAATAAATAAAATGAGTAGTGAATATCAATCCTACATTAGCGCCGACGCCAATAAGTAAATAAATATTCATATTCGTAATCAGGATGTAGATAACCCCGTCTACAAGTTTTCATGGATTGATCGAGGGTGTTTAGCGCGGGCGCTAGGCGATTTTGGCCAAGCGGATGTGATATTCATGTTCAAGAACTCAAACTACCCCTACAAACATTTCAGCGAGTTTCGTGATTCAGAGTGTTTTGGCGCGGGCACTGGGATTTCCGGCTAAGCAGCTGTGTAAATTGTGTTCAGGAGGTCGAATCTGTCTGTAGGCAAATTTTCAGCCGAACCTGTCCTCGTAGAAAAAAAGTCAGTAAATCCAGTCTGTTTCCGGAAGACTAGGATAGGAATAATTCAATAGTGCCGGGTTCATTGTGGGAACAGTCAGGTGGGCAGTGCGAATTATCTTACGACTACACTCACTGCGCTTTAATCTCAAGAAATAATGTAAAAGGACTTCTCAGCGCTTGAGGACAATGTCAGACATCGCCTAGTTATTCCGTGGGTTCCCTGATTCCTGAGCTCTGAGGATGGCCTATTGTGCTAACTCTGCCTGAACTTCTCAAGGCATTGTCAGCTTTTGGGCGTGCTGCTTCAAGAATTCCGTGTTATGGATGGAAAAAATGTGCGTTCTTGCAGTTTTTACAGTGTTGGTATGTTTGATTTTGGAAACTTCCGTCCGTGAATGATCTCTCTTTAGGATGCAATATTGATCCTACTTCCCGAAATCGTAGTGGCCTCTTGAATGCGTTGATATCTATAAAATGGGGGTCCAAACGATGCAAAAGAGAGTGTTTTCCCCTCACAGACAACTCTGGTACCAGCACACAGGCCCATGGGATGGAACGCGTTGGCTCGAGCGGCAATCGGACAACGTTCGATCACACGCGTAGTGAGCGAGGCACTTTTCACTATATCACCCTATGTAGTTCAATTGTATACGGTAGATTTCGGTAGATTTCTACTGAAATCTCCGAAAGCAACCCACAACAATATGTAGTCCCTAACACAACACTAAAGAACTGATGATGCTTAATTTTCACCTTATCCACTCTCCAACCTGAACGCTGCCCCCAGTATTACCGTTTGTTCTACGAGTTATTCGAGCGATGAGGTCTAATAGACCCTCCATTAGTTCCTTTCACCGGAGCCACGAAAATACTGTTTATACAGAACTTGAGCAGTTGGCTGATTGAAGTGCAAACCCAATTGAGAATGGTGGCCATTTCTTTGGAAAACGGACCAGTTTATCATTAGGAATGGAACTATGCCAAGACAAGGTTTTCAATGCAGGATGGGGTTATCAGGCAAATTTCAGAAAATTGCTCAACTTATGAAATGCTGACCTTTTTCACCACTATACTACTATAGCTCTGTTCATGATTACGGGCCTTCTTTAAAGGCAGTTGGCACGATAAATCCCCAAGACGACTAGGATCAATACTCCTGGCAGGATAGAATTCCGCGACCCTGGGCAGGCGCTGCATAGCGGTTTCCCCGAGGAAGGTGCCCTTATAAGGGCCCTATCAAGCCACAACTTTACGTCCCAAACGCCCGCCACGCCCGCCCGCCCACAAATGGACGACCGTTCTGACGCTCGTATTCATTCATTTGCTGAGCAAATTATGAAGCAAAGGGATTGGTATGAAGCGGCCGTGATGCTGCATGCATACATGGGTACACATATGCAGCCGTATCTTCGGTAGCGGTGATTGGTGCCTACGGGAAACTCGTCCGAAATCGATTTACAAGTCACTGAGAACGGTTTTTCTTCGCAGGATTTTGACCGTTTCACTCCGTTCTTTCGCCATTTCCCCACTATACAGCGCCCTACTAGCATTTTAGGCTAAGTAGGAAACCATCGTGCCAACTGCCTTTAAGCCGAACCTGAGAACATCTTGCCTGATTATTTCGAAGAGTCACTTTAGATTTCATCTCGTGGCTAACGAATGGTCGAGTGACATCGCGCCAATGCCCACAACTCGTAGCTGTGCTGGTGTGGCTGCACTTGGTGGCTTTCCTTTATGCAGTGGGCGGTTATGACGGCAACAGATTTCTGGACACTGTTGAACGGTTAGGAAATACCTCAACAGCTTTCGATTATTAGTTCCAACATTTCTGCAGTTATGATCCTCAACGGAATGTGTGGGTCGGTATGGCACCCATGGATACTCCGCGGAAGGGGCATTCTCTATCCGTCCTTGATAGGTGTCTATATGCCATCGGAGGATATAATGGACGATGTTGTTCGAACACTGTCGAAAGGTAAGTTGATGCTTATTGTGGCACTTCAGTTTCTTGGGATCAACGGTTCGTGGTGCAGCTATGGTTTCCGGAGGAATTTTCCAAAAAAAGGTATGAAAAGAAAGTTGTCGCCATGAGAGCAACCGTTCTGGAATTCAGAGAAGCAAATAAAATGAAGGTTGAGCATGCCTATACCGTTTCACCTTTCAGATTTGATCCACGTACGGGAAGATGGGAGTTTGTCAGCTCGATGTTGACATGTCGAAATGATCTGGGATCCGCAGTTCTAGATGGCCACTTATACGCAGCAGGTGGAGAAGACTGGTCACATTGCGAATTAAAATCGGTTGAGAAATACAATCCCTTACCAACGAGTGGACCGCAGTGGCTAAGATGAACGAGGAGCGATCTGGTGTGAGTCTACGCTCAGTATTTCTTATGGATCACTTCTTTTGAATAAATGTGAGCAGAATCAAAAGATCATTCGTAGGTGAGGCTTGCCGTTGCTAATGGAAAGCTGTACGCTGTGGGTGGGGATAAGACATCCGAAAAGGATTCTATTGAAATTTTCGATCCTGAGAAAGATCACTGGACATTCCTTGGTTACCTTAATGACAGGTCAGTCGTCATCGATCTCTTATTTTCATGTTTTTTTCAGCCCTTTTCGATTTTCTAAGTTTCCACATAGGTCAATAGTATGCTTCCAGACGACTTGGAGCAGGAGTTGGAGTCATACGAATACTAGCCTAATGGCGACGGTACCTGGATGGAAGTCAATGAATGCCCGTCTTCTTTCGTCTCCATCTTGCATCTCACTAGCACTTCCTACTTCTGGAATTGAGACGTTCTTTGTTGTAATACTTCTTTTGGTAATTAGGTGAAAATTTCTTTGCATGTTTTTTTAGATTCCGCTGATTTTTCCACATTTTTTGAGTGAGCAGACGAATTTCACATAATATTTTGAGATGGGGAATTACACTTTTCGCTCCTCTTCGAGGTAGTCTATATGGCACGAAAGGACGCACCAGTGTAGAGAACGCGATTTTCCCAATGGTACATTTATGTGATCAACGTAGAATAAGCCCTTAACTAGCAGGGACGTTATTGTGAAAGTGGACAAATGCTTAAAGGCACAGTTCGCGACCGCAAATTGCGGGAAACGGAACTCAAATAGGCTTAAAAAGTGCTAAGTATCTGAGTAGCGGAGAAAAGCAGCAGAAAATAAAATGCAGTCCGAAATGTTATAGAGAAAGATAACATAGTGGCTACTAGCTAGTAGCTAGCAGCCGGTGAGGGTCGGCATGGGCCTAAGGGGTGTCCATGGGCCTAATTAGTCAGCTTCTAGCGGAGTTCTTGCCGTTTTTCACACTTTGAAAGTAGCGCAGCCTCAAAAATCGCCTTCCGGATCGTCCGACACATTTGAGAGGTCATAGCCTTATTTTATCGCGGAACGTGCCTTTAAATGTAGGCATCAAACCATCAGATGTTCAAGGTGGAATGGCAACGAACGCAGAAGACAATTTACAGGGGGAGGGGGGCAACTTCAAAAACACTCTCTTCCTCGACTTTCAAAGCGCTATAAGTAATCGTCTATCAAATTCTGATCGGACATCTTATTCAACGACACGTTGTACTCTATCGCAATATTCCGCCACAGCCTTCTAGACAAGCGCCATCGAGAGATTCCGCAACGCGAAAGTGATTCGGTACCTGAGTTAAGCGAGTTCGTTGATTTCTGTGCCGTTGTGGAGCACCTTATTGAGTTTCTCTCGGACCGGGTAATCGAGGGGGTCTCGGTGAGGTGACACACATGGCTATTTCGTCTTCTTCAGGTGCTCAACGCCCTTCGGGTTCAAGAAGTCGACGTTTCTCGGTCCTATGTGCTGGTCATGCGATCCCGTAGCAGTACAGAGTTCCCAAGATGGTACAGGCGACGACATGGGGGCAGGACATTGTCCTCGAGGTGTTCGTTGTAACCGTCAGCGTCCACTTTCAGTCCGGGTTTCACGAAAATCATATCGGTCTTCCCCTTCCGGAACTTCCGATCCATATCATCAGCACGCACAGAAAAGATGATGTCCTGGACAACAGCAACATTGTCGGAGCTGCCTGATATTGGAGGTCTTCATACCACGAGTGTTGGTCCCAAATAGCTGTCCATGGGTGACTCCATACAAGAAGTTTCGCAGCTGTTTCGGAGGGGCGTGAATTCCGAAGGGCTTTTTCAGTTTGGCTGCGAGTGCAGATGGCTTCATATTTTGTGTACATGAAGGTGATGGAGCGAGGGCCAGCTCCTGCTTATCGAGGAACATCTTGGGTATCTTCCGCCCTGGTACTCGTATCCACGTCTTCTCTCTGGGCTGCGAAAACTTTACTGATATGTGACTCGGCCAAAGTGTCTTTTTTCATTGCCCCCCCCCCTGTATACCTGTCTGAACGGGAAAATTGGAAAGGCCAACAATCCCGATTTGGGTATCCTACAGCGATGTAGCTCCCTGTCCACAATGATAGATCGAAGTCGCTTCCCTTCAATTCTTGTGTTTTTCTTTGTCGTAAAGGAGTTCGACCACACACTACAGCAGCAATCGATTTTGTGATCTGCGAATACCCGGCTGTATGGATGTGACGCCGCTAGTCGTTCCCGCAATATCTTATTCGTTTCTTCACTTTCTTTTCTTTTTCTTCCTCCTCCACGTCTTTCAATGCGTTTCCCCCACACTAATTTACCAAACTCCAGCGCCAGTACTCACCGTAAAATTCTCTCAAGATCTCAGTCACCTGTTCGAGGCGATATTACGCATCACAAGGTTTGAGTAATTGATTTTTCCCGTTGCAACACTATACAACACCCTTCACAAAAAAATCAGTCCTAAACGTGTGAACCCTCCCACCTCGCGACTCACTGCCGACATCGGCTTTTTGGCTCATCAAGGCGCGGAAGTGAGGCTGGAGCGTAGGGAAGGTGGGTGTTGTTTGAATCATCACTGAATGTCCACAATGTGCAGCGTGTGCGATGTTGAAGTCTCGCAGCGAAGAGAAAGAATGGCAAGACCTTAGTGCGAAGTGTGGAGAACACTGCTTTGTGGCCAAAGAAGAAAAGCGTCGACAAAAGCGTGATTGGCTCGGTTGGGCATATCACTGGTAGTGGGGCGTGTCACGTGTTGCGTGCGTATGAATCCCCGAATGGCATTCAGCTGTGACTATCTCTTAACCTCATTTCCGCGCACTTTCGAGCTACAAAAAGGCACATCTTCACGGTTGTTAACCGACTCACCTCGCACATGACAGGCATCGGTATCCTCAAAGGAGGATCACGGCGAATCTCTGAGTTGAAATGAGAGGGTAGGAGCGGTCCTGGTGACGTAATGGATAGCGCACTCGCTCCGGAAACGTAATATGAAGGTTCGAGCCCAGCCCGGGGTCATGACATTTGCTCAGCACTCAGGAAGCGCAGCGGCGGCGTTCAGCAGCAGTCATCACAATGAGCAGATATGAGTGATACTTTTGGGATTTTGAAAATGCTCCCCTCAAGTCAGGTGGAATTCTCTTTTCCCCATGACTTGCGCGTGGGACGGCACATTTTTCTTCAATGAAACTTAGTAACTCCCAAATAAATCGCTACGTTCAAGTGTACCAATAAATGCAACAGACGAGCATACGAATTCCAATCTTTGACGTAATTTAGCTTTTATTGCTTGGTTCTTCCAAATCAATCACTTTTTTACCAACTTCTTCCTCTGTATGCTGTTTCGACTGAAAGTACATTTCACGGGGTTATTTGACCTCCTAACATCCCCTTGGCTCGAAAATGTCTGTTCTTGTACAGATCTCATGAAAAGAAAATAAATAATCGCGCAGATTTGAATTATTTACGCCCGTCCCACAAGACAAACTAGCTGTCGTCCACCATTGATGGAAATACTCGTCAACGCGTTGAGCGGATATGATATTCGTGTACAGGGGGTCGAATTAGCCTAGGAGACAAAATTTCAGCGAATTCGATCACGTAGGATATCTTGGCGCCGGTGCCTATGGCGCGGACACCAGGCGGTTTCGTGGCAAGCGATTGTTGTTATATATTGTTATATTATATTATATTGTTTATACTCTTTCTTACTTCTGTTGTACTTCTGTTCCAAAGTAACCGCAGATCCAGTCATTTATTACTACTGAGAATTTTAATATATTCATAGGATTCCTTTCCTTTTCATGCTTTTCACTGACTCCATCTTGTGAGGTAATCAGACGAAAATCCATCAGCTTCTTGTATGGGATGGCATCACGCCGAACGCCTTTAAGTGTTTGTTGCTTAGGCATGGTGATTCATTTGTTTGGTGTGCACTGAAAAGTGGCCTATAAGGTTCTTGCCATTACTGTTATTCCAATGTTTAACCCCGCTGTGACATGGAATGTCTCTTAATAGATTTATTTCACATGGTTGCAGGTGCTCTGAGGAGAACTTACAAAGATCAATGCCGAGAATAGTCCTGTTCTTGGGATTTCGTTCAGACCTCTCAGCTGGTACAATTCTTCCAGATAAGCCACGCGTTCGAATCCTACTTCAAAGCTTACAGGTGCGAAATCTCACGTGAACGCTTTGATACATCTTTTTTTTCTCATCCTTCAAATTTTCACCAATTTTGATCATTGCCAGTGAAGTTTAGCACATAGACGTCTCTTGAACGCCCAGCGTTTCAACAGTTCTAGACAGGATACCAAATTCTAAGAAAGAATGCTATCTTGGTTAATCCCTTGTGCGAGGTGAATCGGTCTCACTCCCGGTGAGGTTGCTGCAGTAGCGTCTCACTTTTTCCGCTCAAAAGTGCGTTGGAACGAGGCGATTGGATAGTTGTCGTGCGTACACCATGACTGCAACTGCCACGTACACATCTAGGGATTTCCCAAATAAGAAAGCGAACGCGACAAAAACGAAACAATCTTTATATAGCAATCGAAGGTCCACAACAAATCAACCACGACTGAGCGAATAAGGGAGGCGAAGGAAAGGACTGGGCCCAGGGGAAGGCTTTATTTTGGCGCACTCGCGCAGGAAGGAGGTTGTTTCGAGATTAATGTGACGAAATTCAATCGACGCTTGCTGGTTTTTTAGCGCGGTTTCCCACCACCAGGCTGCTAAGACCAGAGGGAGGTCGTGAGCGGTCGCAACTGTAGTGATACCCCGGTGCCGTCGCTCAATTTCACCTGTGGTGCTGCATGGCTAGCCCCTTGTCTACCATGGATAAATGCGTTGCTTAGCTGCACACTCTCCATACTGGTTGTTGTCCTCCAGTGAATGCGTGTTCGCCAGATTTTGTGTCGACGCAAGTGCTACAGCTTGAGGACAGCACAAACGTAGTCGAGAAACGGCTTCCGGGTACTACCAACCTTCAGCTCCGTTCCCGTGCACTTCTCAGTGGACAAGTGGCGCGCTAATGCAACTGCGGACCCATTCACCTCATGCATGGCAAGGACCATCTTCGGAGAGATGAGTGTACAGTTTGTCTTCAACCTTTTACGACATCAGCAAAAATGAGTCACATCGTTAGTCTCCAACCGTGAAGTTGCATGCATATCTCCTTCCTAGCCTCTCGAAGACCACTTTAGTGCTTTTTTCTTACGTTTTGTTTTGCACAACTGATTCCCATTTGTTGTAGAGTTGCTGCAGCGCTCAGCATATCGGGAGAAACCCTTGACAGTGCACAGTGCGCACAGTGTGCAGCGAACACCATCTCACTCCAAACTGGA